TTGAGCTATGCCCTAAGAGCAGGGCCAGTGCAAGGATCTCGTCTCCCACGAATCTATAATACGGTCTCCCTCACTCTACGATATCTCAATTCCCACGAGGTAGTATTCATATAAAATATATGCAATAGAGGTGAACAATTCAACTAGAAAAATTGAAAATAAATACAATGTATCTAAAATTAGAGAGATATTATAATAGATCATTCCATCTTAAATAAATCAACAATGATTTGCGGCAATATTTATCATCCACTTGAAATTGTTCTTGTTAAAAAAGTCTAAGAATTTTAACTCTTTGAACATTATGGATAAAAATAGTGAATTTTATAGTGTTTTTAGACTTAGCATTGGTAAAACAAATTTACAAAAAGCAAATGCAGGTATGATAGCGAGGGTCACAAAGCACTGACCGGAACCGCCAATCGAGGGTCTTGGGGGTAGTACACACCGGCCCTGCCTGAGAGGGTTTGAAAATAGAGAGATGGATGAAGGCGTTTGCTAAGACATCTATGACGCTTCTATGTTTGACCAGACGATGAGGATGATAATGATATGTGACGGGAAAGGTTGACCAGATGATGAGGATGATGATGATATGTGACGGGAATGGTTGATCAGATGATGAGGATGATGATGAAATGTGACGGGAAAGGTTGACCAGATGATGAGGATGATGATGATATGTGACGGGAAAGGTTGACCAGATGATGAGGATGTTGATGATATGTGACGGGAAAGGTTGACCAGATGATGAGGATGATGATGAAATGTGACGGGAAAAGTTGACCAGATGATAGTGATGATATTGGTAATTATTAAATATGGCGGAATGGGTTGACCATAAGACGGCGACGATGATGATAACAATGATGATGATAATATCCGGTGGGAAATAGGGAACCTAGTTTCACCCATGTTTATCCTTTATAAACGCTAAAAAACAAACTCACAGTCAAATCAAAGTCATAACTATTAGAAGAAATAGGATCAATAGCAAAGAAAAAATAACAAAATGTAATGTCAAGAATAAAAAAACTTTATTTGTACGTGTGTCAGCGAATTTAAATATTTTTCTTGGTTAAAATTAGCAGGAAGACAAACAAACAGAAAGGAGACAGAAGTAGAAGTAAAATGAGACAGTGAAAAAAAATGAAATGCAAAAAACCAAAAACGTCGATGTGAGATTTTGGCAGTGCTTAATACGAAGTACTATCCAAAAGTTCGGGAAACTGGAACGGCATGCGCGAACAGAATGTAGTACGAACTCTTGACACTCCTCTTCATGAGCAGTATTTTGTAAACACAGAAGGAGAAGAGAAAAATTGGGTGATGGCGTAATTTTTAAAAACCCTTTCATTAAATTGCACAAATTGTGTGTGTGTGTATATATATATATATATATATATATATATATATATATATATATATATATATATATATATATATATATATATATATATATATATATATATGATAAAAATATAGTTTTAAGGTATGCTATATTTAGGGCTTATCAGGGATAGAGCGTATGTAAATATAAAATTGGACATTGAAGTCAATATCCACAGGCTACAGTCTGTTTCATGCTAAAGGCAACACGACTCTGGGTGTTGACTTCAATGTTCACCTTTATATATATATATATATATATATATATATATATATATATATTTATATATCATTAAATATGGCAGACAAGGAAGATTTAATTATTTTTGATTAAGCTTTTTCCAGCTTACGTTATCCGTATTGTAGGAGTAAGGGAGTACAATATTAGGTTTTCCAGCATCTAATCCTTCCTTACTCCTACAAAACGGAAAAACGTCAGGATTCTAGAAAAACTTATTAATAAATTAATTAAATCTTCCTTGTCTGTCATATTTAATGAAAGATGCTTGAAAGAAAAGTTGCTGTCCAAATATATATATATATATTCTATGTACTATGTTATTTTTTAAATTTTTGTAACAATTTCTGTTTCATCGTGTTGATAGTATTATTGTTATACGAATAAAAATTTTAAAAATGCGTTAATAACTAATGTGGCTCGATCAACGGACAAAGAAGATGGCAACAGAAAATGGGTATGGATTATAGCCTGAATTTTACGTTTATTTACGATTGCTGTTTTCCGTTTTGTTTCAACAGAAAGAAGCATTCTTTTTATTTCCTCTGGCGAATTATACCAAGTGATTTCTGAAGAATGGCTTGATCGAAACAGTCGCAAATATTCGAAGAATTGTTTTAATTGTTCGAACAACATTTGTTATGTTAAAGATTCTTCATAAAGTTACAGGCAATATAGTTGTGTAAGTATTAAAACAATTTAAGAATTATAATTTATTGTAACATTTACATTAGTAATTTGAGGACAACCAGATGACAACCAGAATAGTTATTGTTTCTTTTCGATGTTTTTATATGAAGAACATTACGTGGTACAGAAGAGTTAATAATTTTATACTTTCAATGGGATGATTTTTGGCAGTTTCTTTATTTTAAAGTCAGACACAAGGCTACAAGCATTTGTGCAGGAGGTGTGTGTCTAAGTGGTTATCGTTCTAAATGCTAACCAGCTTCAATATTGCTTGACTTTGGTGATCATACGAAAGCCAAAGGCTTTGCTTCATCAAGCAGAGAGGCTCGAATTTACTTCATAGGAATAGACAGCTGTATTAGCTCGTTAACCATTACACCACAGGAAGACGCTCGAGCATTTGAATGTTATTTTAATGCTTTATATAGTCTGGCGCAAGTTGCAAATATTGGTGCACTTAGGATTAAACTTTAGTGAATAAGTTCACAAAACGTGATCGCTAACCAATGATATACGGCAGACAATTTCAAACACACACACACACACACACACACACACACACACACACACACACACACATATATATATATATATATATATATATATATATATATATATAAAGAATTAATGCATACATTTTTAATCAGACATTTTAAAACTTCAAACCTTATTATAGTGGACACTTCGTATTTGAAATAGACGACCATAATTCTATTTATTAAACAGTGTGTATTGCGTCTATCGGCCTGTGTATTCGTGAAATTTTAGTAGAGCAAATGTGTTCCCCGGTAGGGATCGAACCTGCCCCTCAACTTTTCTAGGGGAAACCAACAAAAAACGTCGCAGCAATATATATATATATATATATATGTGTGTGTGTGTGTGTGTGTGTGTGTGTGTGTGTGTGTGTGTGTGTGTGTGTGTGTTATGTGCGTGTGTATTTAAAATAGGATATAGAATCCCGACAAAGTCTTTAAGAAATTTGACAAATGGAAACGTTTTCCATTTGTCAAATACATAAATTTAACAAATATCAAATGTATATTCCGTGAGGAACAAAATCTATATTTATTATATATAAGGTATATTTAGGTAAGTAAGAATTGAGAGAAGCTGTCTATTTAAATTTTTATTGTATTTTTCTAATTTTCGAATTATATTTTGTGTATCTAAATCATTGTTATCAAAGATACCGCTCACTGGGATCATCTCCCCAGGCAAATATCATTAGATTATATATATATCTATCTCTCTCTCTCTCTATATATATATATATATATATATATATATATTTCTATATATATATATATATATATATATATATATATATATATTTATATATATATATATATATATATATATATATATATATATATATATATATATATATACTTTATATATATATATATATAAAGAAAGAAATATTCTTTCTCGATAACATTTTTCGTCGAAAACATTCAAATCAAAATTATCGCGTTTTTAGGTTTCCTTATATATATATATATATATATATAGGATAAAAATATTTTCATGGTATGCTGCATTTATGTATAAAAGTGCTCACTAGCATAGATAGAGTGTATGTAAATATAAAAGTTGACGCTGAGGTCAACGCTAAGCGGTGACAGTCATGGTCCGGAGATTGTGTTCAAGCATGAAACAGATTATCCTATCTCGGTGTTGACCTCAGTGTACAGTTTTTATTACGGTATCTTAGTTTTGGTACAAGTCCACGAGGACAGAGCACCCAGTAAAGATTGAACTCGCTAGTTTGTAGTAATAATCTGCGACGCCATATTGTTAATCAATGCACCTCTCCGAGGAAGCCTTCTTGTACATCTCTGCTCGCGTGTTTATTTTCATGTATGAGTGTATGTGTATGTGTAAATGCCAGTCCGCTTGTTGGCTTCATATATAATTCATTGCTTTGCTCAGGCTTCAATATGCGCATGCTCACTTTCACAAACCCGTGTGTCTAAAACTGTCGCCAGGGGGAATTTCTTTCCTTCTATTTCTGACTTCGCTTCCTGATTTGCGAGCTTAATTCGTCCAAATATATTTGCTTCGCTGTCGCAAACTACTACTTTGTCAATATTCTAGTAAAAATATTTCCTCTTTTGACAAATAATATCTTAAAAATGCACAAAAAAAAAAAAAAAAAAATACAATTATTTTGTAACACGCGTACATATATTAAACCGAAAAAAGCAGGTATACGTAAAATCGATTTCGCATTGTCACGTGACCGGATATTCAGATTTGAGGTTGTACACATCTCTAAACGAGGTAAAAAACGTTGGTGATGCTATTCTCTGCTATTGAAATCCTTCACAGGAGTATTCGAGATTTTATTCTTTGTGAGAATAACAACGTTTTTATTTGATCCGAGTCGGATATAATTGGCTGGATTTTTTTTTTCAATTCGACTCGATAATATAAAATAAGTCATCGACTGGCAAATGACTGTCTTGTATTGTTGTGATAAACTTCACCGAAGATACGGTCATCTCTCCGAAATAACACCGAGTAATATGTATTTACGCCTCATCAGACACACACAAGCATTCACATACATACATACATACATACATACATACATACTCACGAACATACACAAAGTACCGTGTAATATCAATACAGCTTTCTTTTTTTTCATTTTCTTTTTTCTTTTCAAAGTTTTTCTTTACATGGTTGTGATAACATCCATTTCTTTTTCTTTGGTGCTGGGCAGGGACGTATAGATCTTGCCGGCTGACTTGGTCTCTGTCTCATCGTAGGACAAATCTCCATCGGAGCGGGTGGATGGCTGAACGCCAAGGCAACAGCTTCGTATATGACATTTGTCGCTGGAGTTGGCAGAGAAGATCTTGTCGTACATAAGGGTGCCCGCTACAGCCCCCAGCAAGTCACCGACCCAGTAAATCTGAAGAGAGACGAAATGGAATCGATTAGAATTTAGTAAATCCATTCAGAGATTTAAGAATAAACCGAATGAAAGGAAGATGCAAAAAAAGGAAGCAGAAAGAAAGAAAAAATATAGAAAATATAGAAAAAAAGAAAGAAAATAAAGACGAATGAAACAGTAAAAGAAAGAAAGATGTAAAAAGGAAGCAAAAAGAAAAAGAAAGAAAGAAAGAAGGAAGGAGAATATAGAAAATATAGACAAAAAAAAGAAAAAGAAAAGAAAAACGAATAGGACAGTAAAAGAAAGATGTAAAACGGAAGTAGGGATATGGAAAGAAAGGAAGAAACAGTATAGGAAAGTAATAGACAAAAAGAAACAAGAATGGAATAGGAAAAGAAGGAGCGGTGCAAAAAAAAGAAGAGATGAAGAAAGAAAGAAAGAAAGAAAGAAAGAAAGAAAGTTGAAATGCGCGTGAAAGAAAGAAGGAAAGAGACGAAAGAGAGATGAAGAAAAGACGGAGGAAAGAAAGTAGAGAGAGAAAAAAAGAAAGAAAGGAATGTAGACAAAATGAGAGCTATATGAAAGGAAGTAGAAAGGAATAATGAAAGAAAGAATGAAGGTGACATAAAAAGAGGACAGAGAGAAAAGAAAGGAACGAGAAAAAGATAGGAGAAGGATACAAAAAGAAAGGAAGTAATGAAATATGTAAAGAAGGGGATATTTTAAAAAAAGAGACACAAAAGAAAAAAATTAAGGGAAACGGAAACGTAGTGAAATGAAAGAAGGAAGGGAAAAAGGAAGGAAGGAAGGGAAAAAGGAAGGGAGGAAGAAAGAAGGAAGGAAGGGAGGGAGAAAGAAGGAAGGAAGGAAGGAAAGGGGGAAGAAGGAAGGAAGGAAGGAAGAGAGGAAAAAGGAAGGAAGGAAGGAAGGAAAGGGGGAAGAAGGAAGGAAGGAAGGAAGAGAGGAAAAAGGAAGGAAGGAAGGAAGGAAGGAAGGAAGGAAGGAAGGAAGGAAGGAAGGAAGGAATGGAAAAGGGAAGGAAGGAAGAAAGGAAGGGAAAAAAGAAGGAAGGAAGGGAAAAAGGAAGGAAGGGAAAAAAGAAGGAAGGAAGGGAAAAAGGAAGGAAGGAAGGAAGGAAGGGAAAAAGGAAGGAAGGGAAAAAGGAAGGGGAAGCAGAGACGAAAGAAAGAAAGAAAGAAAAAAGAAAGAAAATGAGAATAAATAAATAAATGAAGAAAAAAGAATTCAAGTGAGCAAGAAAAGTTGTCCCTGTAATAAAGTGAGTACTCAACTCAATATAGAAGCGGTTTCTAAAGTATTCGATATTTGTTTGGAGGTCATCAAGCAGCAAATAAAGATCACAAAAACGCACGTAAAATGCATATAAAAAAAGAAAGTGAAAAAAGTCAAGTGATTTTACGTTATCCATCTTTGGGTGATCCGGTCTTTTTCGATTCATGAATAACAAGGCAGAAGATTTCTAGTATTCATCTACCATTTCTTTCTTCGGTAGATTGGTTGCCAAACCAATGTCATAGAACCTAGTCTGTCCTGCTGTTCAATCCATAGCTGGGGGAAGGAGAAGGTCTGAATTGTTATCTTTTTCAAGATTTGCGCATGAGTGAATATAACGAATTTGGCTGGAATTCGAACTCAGCTCTTTCTCATTCCAAGCCCTTATCCATTATGCCATCAGGAAATAGTTTACCGCCGGCACTGAATTGATAAAAGCCACGGTAAGCAATGATGATGTTATAGGGTTTCTATTAACAATCATATTCAGAACTGGTAAAATATAAAATTTATTGAGCTGACGTAGCGGTTATTGGCAAAGAAAACGTAATCAACGGGTTGAGTTCGAATTCTGGTCAAGAAACTTGGCACTAATACTCTCGGAAAAGTCATCAATCTGTTCCTCTTTGCTGAGACGTCTTTAGAAAAATGTCACGCCATTGACGGAGATATTAGTAAGAGAGTGAGCACTTATATTCTCGGAGAGTATGAATAAATAACTAACTTCATTCTTAAACTTGACACTTAATGTAGTGATATCAATTGTCAGATGATATCTTGTTAAGGACAAGGATGTTACAGAAATTATTTTGACAATTATCGTAATGACAAAGAAGATCAGCTGAGTGGAACCAGACCCTGGGTTCTTGATGAATAATTTTTTAGACGAAAAACAGAGAGAGAGAGAGAGAGAGAGAGAGAGAGAGAGAGAGAGAGAGAGAGAAGGAGAATAAAGGATAAATAAAATAGATAAATAAGAAGAGATGTTGTATAAGAGATGTTGAGAATGTGGTATTATACTGTATGGAGGATTGATTGGTGACGGACGAGTTCTTGTGGTGAATGTGGAAATTGTAATGTCTGAATGGGTCGTGAATCGGATTAGCTAGGTATAGGACAGTTAGTTACTACCAGCCTCAACCCCTCCCCTTTTTCGGTCTCGTGCTATAATTATATTTTTAATGCAATAAATATTGAGATGTTTTATAATATAAAGAACTATTTTTTCTCAATATCTGTCTATATTTCTGAGATGAGGTATTATGTACATTATTTACATTATTCGGTCTATTGTCATCATCTTTGTCGCCATATTTATTACACATGGCATAGTGGATAAAGGCGTTGGTTAGATCCAGTGACAGGACCCAAAGAGTGTGAGTTCAGTACCCGGTTAAGGCAGTGGAGAAGTTTCAGAAGGAAATTAACAGGAGATAACTGATAACTGACATCCATTAAACATGGCGCGTGGAACTAGAACAGTCTATCCCAGTGAGAGAAATAAAGGGTTTAGTTCGACATTCCAACCACCTGAAGAAGGCCGGTTCGTACAACGGCCGAAACGTTGTAATAAATATGGCGACAAAGATGAGGACAATAGTCCGAATAATGTAATAATGTATTTTTTTCTCACCTCAAATGTAATTTTCTGTTTTTACTATCCTTTTTTTTTTTAAATTATTGACAAAAGGTGTGGAGTCACGTATAAACGTTCCCATTCCTGACAGCAGCTCATCCATCAAAGGATTCTACATAATTCTAGTCTTTTCTAAATTTAATCACTTGAAAGCAGTTGACAAGATTTTCCGTTGATATGACATCACTTTTTGTAACTATTCATATTGCACCGAATAGAATGGTCTTTCATTTTTTTCGACATATTATTTTTTTTAATTATTTCACCCCAAGCAAGGCAATGACGCCATTAATACTGAAGGGGGTTACTGCGTGTGATAGAATATAAGGAAAAACATTTTTTAAGGGGAGAGAACAATAAATGAACAAGAATTAAGAATACAACAGAAGATATCAATTGATATTAAATTTTGAAGATCAAAATTGACTGGAAAGCAAGAAGTCGGAAAAGAGTTCCACAAGCGAAATATAAAAAATATAAAAGTAGACATTGAGGTCAAGACCAAGCGACGGCTGTCTGTTTCATGCCTTATCCATTCTCCTCCTACGCTCTCTCGCCCTCTCACTCTCTGACACACACACACACACACACACACACACACACACACACACACACACACACACACACACACACACACACATGTAAAGCAAATGATTTTCTGAAAAATTTGTAAAGAAGTTAAAACAAGTTCTTCTAAAACGAAGGGTTTCTTTCGTTTCACATCGATTAGATTTCTCTAAATCTCATTTCTCGCCCCAGGCCTTCTCCGCGAATGTTGTCTTGCTTTGTCCCCCACCGATTCGTTTATATCCCACCCCCACAATTATAGTAGCACACTGCGAATTCCATCTGTGAGTTTTTACATTCCAATATGACAAGTTAAAGAGCCAGCGGATGACAAATAAACAATGTAAACTGTCCATCAAAGCAAATAGGTCAAGGTGGGAATTTTAATGTCGCCAAATAGAATAAGAAATGGCGATAATCCGCACAATGCGAAACGCTTTCTCTGCCTGCATTCAGAATGCGGAACCCACAGGACTAAAGGATTTCACTCACGGTGCGTTTCCATGGACAGACACATACTCACGAGTGGCTCAGGCTGCTGGGAGATGGGGTTTTATCGAATTACTAGAATGATTGCCAACCAAAGCTACAGAACCCAGTCTTTTTTTATATTTAGCCCATACCTGGGGGAGAAAGGTTGATTCTTACCTTTCCTGAGGATATTTGCTCTATCAATTACAACATCTTTACATTTGACCGCAAATTCAACCATAATTTATGTGTGTGTTTGTGTGTGCGTGCGTGCGTGGAGTCTGTGTGCATATGTGTGTGCGTGTGTGTATATATATGTGTGTGTGTGTGCGTGTCTATATATGTATATGCGCATGTGTGAGTGTGCATGTGTGTGTGTACATGTGCGTGCTCAAAATTATATAGATTTCTGTTAAAGCTGAGTATGTGTATAACGTCTTTTCAGTTATCGTTTGATTGATTTGTCGATTCGTTTTTTTACGGCTTATCAACCCTTTGAAGGTTATTTAAATTTTAGAAAATATTTTTAGATTGTGAGATTTTAAAAAAATAATAATGGTTTTAATGATACACGTCATACTAATTAACCCATAGCTGGGGGAGAAGAGGTGGATTCATACCTTTCATCAGGGTATTTGCGCGGTCACCTAAGTACTGACCAATACTTGACGAAGAATAACTTCGGTTATTGTACGGGAACCAGTAGTTTTAACGTGATATGGCCACAAGCCAATTATCGTTTGGGTGGCAATTCCATAAGTTTCATTTTTTTTTTCTCTTTTTTAAACCAGCCAAAGCGTTTCATTCCCATTTACCAAAGCGTTTCATTCCCATTTACCAAAGCGTTTCATTCCCATTTACTATTAAGTTGTTCAGAAATTAATACAGATATTTATTTCGACATTTTTAAAGAACAGACATTCAGACAAGGCGTGTAAAATGGTGTATAATATTACATTTTATTTTTTTTCGTTTTACTCCACTTGTTATAAAAATTGAATTTTGTAAATTTTCAAATCTTCAAAGTTCAGTTGTCAAAACAGGATTTTCGCTTAATTTATTTCTGTCGGTTTATTTTTGGTAACAGTGCCGAACAAACAGCGAGAAACATCAATGAATGCCTAGTGCAATGTCGTTTCAAAAATTCTGTTGTAAAGTCATTCTTGAAAATACGGAGGTCGCAGATATCCTTCAACCATTGACGGATTTGTTGGAAGCAAATCCCCGTACAACTGTTCGAGAGCTTGCAAGAGAGTTTAGGTATCAATTATTGAAACTAATTAAGAATATTTGAACCGAATTGGGAAGTTGAAGAAGCTTTGAAAATGGGGATCACACCAACGAAAACTAGAATGAAGTTTGCTCTTCGCTTTGCGCATCAAAAACAACGTCTTTCTTGGATACTGACGGCGATCAGAGCATTGGTTAGACAAATTTGAAACTTCCTAAACACTTCTCAAAGTCGAAGTTGCACCAAAGGAAGATTATGGGGACTGTTTGGTGATCCGTAGCTGGATTAGTCTACCAACTACAGTATTGTCACAACGGAGAAGCACTGTAAGAAATTTAATGAAATGCATTAAAAACTGTAGCATATATGACCCGCCTTGGTCAGCGGAAAAGATGCAACCTATTTGCACGACAATGTTCGACCCCACGTCGTACAATCAACGCTCCAAAAGTTGAACGACTCTGGCTACGAAACTCTGCCTTAACCAGGCGTATTCATTGGACCTTTCACCAATTAACTACCGATTTTACACGCATTTCAACTAATAATTGCAGTGTAAAATTTTCAACAACTATAAAGCTGCAAAAATGCCTTTAAAGAACGATTTGTCTCCAAAACTTCAGAATTCTATGTACAGAGGAATATAATAGATAGCGACTCAGAATGAGAAATCGGAGAGCCGAGTTCGAATTCCAGTCGGGATCGTTATATTCACTTACGCTCAAATAGCCTCAGCTATGGGTTAAATAGTAGCACTGGTATCTGAAGAAACCCTTGTTATTCGCAAAAAATTCTTAATGCAATATTAACTCGCAAAAAAAAAAAAGATTAATTGTTCTAATAAATCCAAAATGCTTCGGCTTTAAAATAATCTACAAAGTGTTGATAAACCGTAAAAAAAGAAATCAATCATGTTACTGTAATTAATAAACTTGTATCTTGTTGGTAAAAATGTCTACATTCTCGTTTTTTTTTAACTTGACCAATAAAATTCGGAACTGATATGCTGTTTTAAAGTAAATGTTTAAAAATATGCATTTCTTGGTTACCTTTTATTTGTGTTTCTAAGTTCAAGGTCTATAGTTTTTTTAATCCGTTTAAAACCTTTCTTAAGTCTTATCGCCCGACATTCTCGCTTTTTCTTCACATCACCTTAGTAACAAACAAAATTTATCTACATAAGGAATGACGTTATCAAAAACTAACAAAAATATTGTGATTTCCTTTTACTTTATTTTCTTGTGTATAATACGCCTTGAGTTTAATATCATCCCGTGTCCCGTAGTATAGCTATTGCTAAGTCTTTTTTTTTTTTATTTATATCATATTAGCCCTTAAAATGTCAATGTCATACATATATTTCACTAAAATATTAAATTTTTCACGATATTAAAGAATAGAAATAAACCGGATGTTTCTCTAATTTCCGTTTCTAAAATTATTTTCAGGGAAAAGTGCTAACTAGACATTTTAAGGTGTTAATTAATTTATAATATTTCTATATATTAATAAGCTATGAAAAAAAAGAAAGTATATTGTCTTTCATTAAAAACAAAGAGAAAAAAATATTGCCAGGCATGAAATACCTTTTGGTAAAAATTGTTATCAACACCTGCCTAATTAGAGATTTATTATCTATTGTGATAATTGTGTGTATTTGTAATCTTCTTCTTTCAAATAAAAATGTTTTTGAAGCTGGGTAAAAAAAATTCTCGAAACGTTTACTTGTGTATAATACGACCGCAATTCTTTTTTACTTTAAATTTCATTTCAATATTTTCTCGTATTACGCCCAAGAAAATAGGTTGGTTTGCAGCGAATGAATTTCTAGATTTGTAAAGAATGTTGTGTTGGGGAGGATTAGCGACATATCCGGGTAGGACAGTTAGTCATAATAATAAATCATTTCAAATGGAAATTTGTCATTTATACAAAGCGGTATTACACCTTAGTGTTCGTCACACGCGTGCGCACGTGTGTACAAACACACACACACACACCATATATATATATATATATATATATATATATATATATATATATATATATATATATATATATATATAAATGGGATGAGTATAGGTTTCCTTACACCTTTTTTAATTGAGAAATGTTTAAAATCGACTGAATGGCTCATAAACACATATATAATCCAATTGTCTTACATATTTACCATATATACTATATTGTTTTACACACACACACACGTACACACACATACACACATAGCATATAGTGTTGAAACACCGGTTCTCCTACGATCATCGAAGTTAAGCAACGATAAGCCTGGTTAGTACCCAGAAGGGCGACCGCTTGGGAATACCAGGTGCTGTAATCTTGATAACGATTGGTATTTGGAAATCGGAGAGCCGATTTTGAATTCCAGTCAAGTTCGAATTCCGTACAAAGGGAATAACGACCACGGAGAATAATGGCCACGGTGAATAACAAGGGGAAATAACAACTAAGAGGAATAACAAACAAAAGGGAATAACCACCAAGGGGAATAACGACCAAGTGGAATACCCACCAAGGGGAATAACAACCATGGTAAATAGCGCCCGAGGGGAATAACGACTATGGGGAATAACAATCTAGGAGAATAACAACCAAGGACAATAACAACAAAGGGGAATAACGACCACGAGGAATAACAACTAAAGGGAATAACGGAATCAAGAAGAATAACGGATAAAGAGGAATAACAACCAAGGGGAATAACTACGTGTTGATATTTTGACAGAGGCGCAGTGTAACGGGAGAGAGCTTGGAAGAAAGATTTATTCTCCCAGTTACGTTTCTCTCGTTAAGGGCATTATTACATTCGTGATATAATAACACCGTAGTTCATGGACGGGACGGATTGGCTGAAAGGAAAAATAATGACAAATATGCTTTGTTCTCAGAGAGACTTTTATACTACTAAGACATGCACAAAGCTATGTATACAAATGTATACGTGTCCCACGCGAAGAACAATATTTCACATATATCTACACAACTAACAGAGTGTAAGAAGCAATTAAAAGGGACGGTCCTACATATGGAGATACTCCTGTGTCTGGGGAAACCTTGTTTAGGACTCCTGATTCAAACGGGCCGGATTCATTTATTATGTACATGACGAGGACATATTCCACGAACGGGAAAAAGCGAGTCTTAAGTTTTCCCAAATCGAGGATTATGAGGCGGAGTTTCTTTCTATATCTGGGAAAGATATATACGCAAAGGTAAACGGCTTGGGTGACAGATTTAGTTTCTGTCCAGGCCGTTTCGATTTAACAAACTGAAATTGACTGCCACTTTTGTCACTGTATAGAATGACGTCAGTAAGCTGCTGTTCACATGACTCATGTGACTTACCTAAACCAAAGGGAGATAATCGCCTTCTCTATAGTGTTCACACACAAACCAAACATTGTCACTGTTATAATACTTGTTTCAATATATTTTTATGATTTAGGTATGATTTTTATCCGAATAATAATAATAATAATAATAATAATAATAATCCCAAACTCTGGATTTGCCCCGATGGGTTATAATTTTGTCTGGAAATGTTTTTAACTTTGGCCTGCATCTCTCTTATCATTGAGAAATACAAAAACTTAAGGAAAAAAATGTCCTAAGCCGTCCAAGCATAGACATAGAGCAGTAATACAGAGAGTTAATTGTAAAATGAGCTCTGGTAAAACAAAAACATTAGGTTTATTCGTTTGAAGTCCTAAAAAATCACTCACTCAAGGGGACATGGCCCAGTGGATAAAAGTGTAATGTAATCCAAAAAGTGACTTGACCCATTGAGTTGTGTGTTCAATACCTTGCCACAGAAGAGAGAGAGAGAGAGAGAGAGAGAGAGAGAGAGAGAGAGAGAGAGAGAGAGCAAAAGCAAAAAAACCTTTTTATGACAACGCGTTTCGTTCCTTGAAGAACTGTATCTTGCTATGATAAAGTTCCTTAAGGAACGAAACGCACTGGCATAGAAGGTTGGTATCTCCTGACGAGTGGATGAAAAGATTCCTGGAGTGTCCGTCTACGAAACTCTGGGATCCAGATGCTGAAAATGACATCAATCAGCTGAGTGACAAATTTTATATTTATATTAATCGTATATATATATATATATATATATATATATATATATTTGATGGATGCTGAAAATATCCCTGTTCAATCCACTTCCAACCCATCGTATATCTTTGGTCAACATCTGACATCTCAAACATTAGAGCTAAAATATGGATTTTGCTTATAATTATCCCGTATTTTTATTTGGAATTGTAGTGCTTATGATTTTTGATGACGTAACATATGAGACAAAATGTAAACACAGTTCTTTACTTAGGAATTTATGAATCATTTGGAAAAATAAATACACAAATCCCAAAGCCTAGAGTGAAGACGCCCTTATTTAATTGAGGATTTTTAATTTTTTAAAAAGGACCTCATTAATACTAAGCCTTAATTTACAGTAAGCAGGATAATTTTTTTAACAAAATTTTTTTGGGTCTATAGATGGCGTTAAAGGTGCTTAATTTTAAATACGTTTTAAAAAGTAATTTTTGATTGTGTTGTAACAAGTTTTAAATCAGCAATTGTCAAAATTGACGTGTTTATGTTTATTGATTCTAATTTTGAACATGGAAAAAATAAGAGCCATTTCTCGATTAAGTGGCTCTTGCAGCGTGTCTCACTGGCGATGGTTCGATGCTAATGCTTTCTCCATCATTGCAGCTGGCAGGGGATAGCAAGAAAAAATTATTTATAGTTACTTTGTTCAAACTTTTTTTTCAGTAAATAAATTTCTCTAAACTTTTCACGTTCTAATGAATGCTAAAGCATAACTGTACGCCATAGCCTTTGTTTTCTATTTCGGATTTCTTGTATCATGATGACGTAATGAATCATGATGACGTAATTTATCATGATGACGTAATGTGTGAGACAACATTTCATAATACATGAATCATTGTAAAACAGAACTAGAACGCTCATATTTAGTTCGATATTTTTAATTTATGATAACGACTTCAGAAATCAACGCCAACGTAATTCTTGCCATAACCAAAATGTCTTCGTAGCGTCGCTGCGCAGCTGGGCACGTGACCACCTCCCTATTTTGGTAGGTATTCATTCAGACTTACTGTGTCTTGGACAAAGTAGACCTGTCGGAGTCCATTCCTCTCCAGACCTGAAGGCTCGCCGTGATCACAGACAAGTGGTCATTGATTCTATCGTAGAAAGCCTGGCCGTAGACTTCTGTCGTGGAAGCCCTCCGACCAGCAATGCCGCACTGGATATATTCTTTATATGTGACGTGTCCCCTCAGGACGTAGGCGATCATGGCTTTCCACAACTTCCTGTCCCTTAATAAACTGTGTCTTTCTCCTAAGTTCTGTTCCGCCATCCATTTACTCAAGGTCATTAAGTATGTTATGCGTTGTTTTCCTCTGTCATTCTATCTGTCCCGCGAGTGTCAGATTTTCCAAGCCCTCTTGTCTCATTATATGCCTTAGAAACCTCAACTGTTATTTCCTGATGTTAAATTTTAGTTTGCATTTCGTTTCCATTTTCTCTAAAAGTTCATTGTTACTCACATGTTCGGTCCATGGTATCCCCAGTATCCTTCTGTAGAACCACATTTCTGTTGTTTCAGGTTTCCTCTTCATCTTTGGGGAGGCGCGGTGGAGTAATAGATAGCGGCTCGGATTGAGGAATCGGAGAGCCAAGTTCGAATTCCAGTCGAATCCATTCCATTCACTTACGCGCTAATACCTCTGGCAAAGATATAAATCTTCTTCTTCTTCTTCTTCTACCCCTAGCTATGGGTAAAATATCAGGAAAGACCCTGTTCTATAGCCTTGGATGGCAACTGGTGTACCACAAAAAGAAATGGCAACCTAATGTGGGGAAAAAATCTGCCCCGTCAGTCAGGTATCGAAAGATCGCCTATCACGCATGGCACATAGCTGACTGACTGACTTCATCTTCCAGATCGTCCAGCACCATTACCAACAGTTTAATCCTGTTTGCAGATTTAGATTACAGCCGATCGAAATTCGCCGTAGTTAATTTCTGGAGAATCCACAGAACTACTATATATGAAGTTGCACGCATAGTTCGAAAACAAAGGCGATGAACTAAAGATTTTTTTTTATTGATTTTTGGTCGTTGGGCGACGGAGTAGACTGATCGCCATTAAATATAGCAATCATTATTACTATTCTTACACAAGATCCTTTCATATGACTCTGTATGGAGCAGGGTCGAAAGTCTTGTGGGCCGACTGGGAAATCTCCCCTCGTTACTATTAAGCGTCCGAAGATGGCATGGTTTGGCCACGTTTATACGGCATAAGCATCCTTTACCAGATCATCATGTAAAGAAGAGTTGAAGACTGGCTCATGCGGGGCGGCAACATCAAAGAATAGACGGACATGACAATGCAGGAACTCCCGAGAGTCATCGCCAACAGATCATCTTGGAAAAGGTTGTCCGTTTCTTCTGGCCACCGACAATTGAAGCAGTCGAGAGACAGATTATTATTATTTCAATAATATAAAGCCTTCATTGGCACTTAACATGTTACGATACCATCGTTATCAATTCCATTTTTTTATTTTAAGGGATGGCCTGTGCGTGAGTGCATTTTCAGGAGAAAAAGAGTTGCACAGCTTTATATCCAACATTTCGGCTGCTTCTCTAGAATCCAGCGGCAAGACGATATATATATATATATATATATATATATATATATAGTTAAACCTAGAGAGCCAGACAAGCCTACTGGATCGTATGTTTGTCTGACTCTCTAGGTTTAACTAGGTCTGCTCTACTCATTGTATTGACCACTTTATTTAGTTAATTTGGGTAATCGCATCAGGGTTTTTTTTCTTTGGGCCTTGAACTCGTATGCTGGGCGATTATTTTCGGTTAACGTACATGTTCTTGGTTCTTTCTTTTTTTATATACCTTTTTTTTCCTTTGGTATTGGCTTGTTTATTTGCAAATCAATACACCGAAGGTTTTCCGAGCGAGTATAGTTTCTTATACTTATAAGAGTTCTATTAATTAATATATATATATATATATATATATATATATATATATATATAGTTTCACTGTTTCGTGGTTTTCTCTGTCTTTTCTATAAATATTTTCACGGCAATTATTCTAATGAAATTTCCTCCTTGCTACCTTGATCGCATAAATTTAAGCGCAGTACTAGATTGGCAACTAGGTTCCATCGTTCTACTGTTGAAATAGCTAAATGTAACCGTAGGTTTTATTCTAACAGTTTCTTTTCTCGAGCTTATCGCCTGTGGAACTCTCTGGTGTAACGTCAATTGCCATCTGTCTTCCTGAAACCTGTTCTTTTATTATCCTCTCTCCTTATTAAAATCTTCTCATTTTCTTTCACTCTCGGTAACCCCTGGCGTTTTTAGTGGCATTTTCGCCTTGATTGGAGTGAAATGATAAAAAAGATAATCGTTAAACTGCGTTAGTGGTGCGAATGGCTAATCAATGCAATTTATAATATACATAGTATCATCTAAATCAAATATATATATATATATATGTATATATATTCTAAAAAAAAATTAAATTAAATATAAAAATAGATTTTTAAATCCCACCCTTACTTTAGCGACACACACATAATTTCGGTTTATGAGATAATCTCGGATATCTAATCCCCCAAATTCCGAGGAACGGATAGGCAGATGTAATCGTTGATTTAAAACCGAAGACAGGTCATCAATTAGACATTAGGCTATGGTAGTCATCAGTCTTATTGAGTTCATCGTGATTTTGAAGCTCCACAGATGTTAAAATTTAGGGCGGGGCATGTGTGAATCTTCTACTAAAATCAATTCACATATGACTATGATCTTTCCATTTTCTCTGTAAAGAATGTGAAATGATGTCATCTCTTGGGAAAAGATCACCGCTGCAAATATAGTGACCTTCACGTGTACCAACATGAACTTTAACATTAAACAGAGAGAGTAGACGTAAAAATATCCTCCTCTCTCCAAATGGTCTCTCTTTCTTTCGAAATTGCCTCTCATGCTCTCAAAATTGAATCTATTTCCTCTCTTTCAAAATAGACTCTTCTTTCCTCACAGGATGGTCTCTCTTTCTTTCGAAATTGCCTCTCTTTTGCGCTCAAAATGGACTTCTTCTTTCTATGTGAGTCTAAATTTGTGCAAATATCATGAGCCTGGAAGCCAACGTCTTGTCATTTAAAATCGTCTGATAAGGAAGGATTTTAAATTGAGCTTGGCTTATTCAAGTACAAGGCCATAATGGTATAATAAAAATAAGGAGTTGTAGAGTTGATATTAGATAATGACATGAGGAAATGTGTCCTTGGGTGTGCCAAATCGCAGTTAATTAAACTGAAAGAGAAACCCTTCAGCATAGCAATTATCGTTGTATACGCATCAACAGCGTAGAATAGAACATACGGTTACATCTTGCTATTTTAACTGCAAAACAATGAGACCTAATTACCAATCCAGTAGTATGTTTAAATTCGTGCGGTAAAGTTACTAAAAAAGAGAGCAATATTTATTTTGAATAATACAAAAATGTGGCCAAGTCTAAGAGGGGGGATAAGAGAAAGCTGATCCTAAATCTGTCTTACCGTAAACTTAGCTAGCCACAATTAGTGACCCAAACAAGTCACAGTATTCCTTACAAACAAAACATTCTTACTTACCATTCTTGCTATAGCCATCATAATACATTTAAGGTCTCTATAAAGTCCTAGCTAGTCCCCATATGTACAATTTGTCTGTGAGGGAGGGAATAAAAAAAAAAAAAATTACAAATGAAACCCCAATGAATATTTACAATGGATACAATTTATATGCAAAAAACTAAACAAAATAGTATCAAGGAAGAGAGCTCATTAGAACAACTGCTGTGAAAATATTTATAGAAAAGACAGAAGGGGTGACGTTACAGCGCTGGGAAAGTGACTGAAGTCGAGATGCCAGGTCCGAACTAATAACATTACGGACCCTTTTTTTTGGGATTTTATCAATAATCTCGAGATATATAGCAAGAACACGAGACCAGATATGGCAGCCATATTGAATGCACTGACGAATGGTAAAACAGATATTGAAAGAAACATTCTCTCACTGATTACTTTAAAACTGCTGATCCGAATTTTATTGATAAAAAATATTGATTATCGGCTGGCGCATGGAAATGGAGAAGGAGGAAGGGAAAAGGAGAGGATTAGTTTCTAACCTTGACATCCATACTGAATGTCTATGTATTTATCTATTATTGATGAATCGTGCAACCACAAATAATATTTCTTACATTGATTATTCATCAGTATATTTCTTTGGCTTTCTGCTTAGCGTTGTGGATGACGTTAAAGTCTACATATCATCATTTTCAATAACGGTATCTAGTCTACCCCACAATTACACCCACAGCCATCCCGTGAATTCAAAGAATGCCCATGTTGTTAATAAGCAAGAACAAACATCTTAAATCCAAAATCTCTCTCGTTCTTTTTCTTCCTTTCTTTGTGCTTGTTCCTTTTTCTTTTATTTTTAACTCTCTTCTTTTTCTTCTTGCCTTTCTTCTTTTTACCCTTTTTCCTCAATGTTCTCAATCGTGTGGCGTGGAAACTATTTTATCGGTCAGGCTTTGCAGTGTTGCGAGTGACATCGGCGTCTACACCTCGCCGTTTACAGCGCCATTTTCGGCATGTTCGCCTCCAAGCGAAAACCGAATTAGGATTCTATTATAGTGGTCTTCATCCCTCCTGTCTTGGCTTGTTCTATCTTACAATTAATGCACAAGGCAGAAAAAGAATCGAATAAGAACTGTTGCCATCGGACCAGCCGACCGAAAGGAGATATCGATTCAAAGACCCTTCCGAATGCAACGAGAAAAAAAAGAAAAAAAGAAAGATAGTTGTTGTTGGAATTAGACATAGCTTAACTCTGAATAACGTACTGTGGTATGGGGGAAATGTTGGGGATTCTAATGAAGATGAAACATCGTAGGAGGAGAAAAGAAGAGAAAGAAATGACGGCTGATGGGGAAGAGAAAGAGTTGAATATTAAAAGAGAGAGAAAGAGATAAAAATCAGCTACGATGAAAGAAAAGAAAAAAAATGAGAAAAAATATTCGACGAATCATTTGGACAGACATTCTTCTTTGTCTTTGAATTTCTGGAATGAGAAATTATCTTTATATTGTTTACAGGCGGATTATTATCTGGGGGACCATAAGGGAATTTCGCACTGAACCCTTTATCTAATTTAGGGGGGTAAATTTAATCGTCGTGCTGACCATGTCTAGGGACCTTCTTCCCCTCAGGACGTAGGCGATCATGGCTCTCCACAACTCCCTTTTCTTTTGTAGCTCTTAATAAAATTTGTTGTCTTTTTATTATTTCTCCTAAACCCTGTTTCGTCATCAATTTACTCAAGCTATACGTTCTTTATCTCTGTCCTTCTTGCCTTCAATCTGTCCTGTGAGTATCAGATTTTCTAAGCCCTCTTTCCTTTTATGTACCCTAGGATTTACAACTGCTTCTTTCGGGTGTTAAGTTTCCTTTTTGTTTGCATTTTCTCCAAATTATCGTCGTCACTCACATAATCGGTCCATGGTATCCTCAACATCCTTCTGTAAAACCATATTTCTGTTGCTTCAAGTCTCTTCTTCATCTTTGAGGAGATTCTTCAGCACTCACTACCATACAGGAGAACAGATATCACATAGCAGTTCAGTACACTTTTCCTTGTTTCTAATGAAGTTTTTATATCTCTTAATACTCTGCTTAGCTTGTGGAAGGCATCTTTGGTCATCCCAATGTGCCTTCGGATTTCAGGGTCACACTTTCTGTTTTCTGTTAAAATACTTCTTAGATATTTAATTTGTTGTACTTGTTTGATTTTGGCCGAAATGTCGTGGATATGGCAATAAAGATAAGAACAACAGTCCGAACGATGTAAATACTGTAAATAGTTACAATACCTCATCATAGAAATATAAACAGATCCTGAAAAAGGCCGGAGCGTACAACGGTCGAAACATTGTGAATATGGCAATACAGATGAGGACAACAGTCCGAACGATGTAAATAGTGTAAATACTTACAATACCTCATCTTAGAAATATAGACAGATCCTGAAAAAGCCGGAGCATACAGCGGTCGAAACGTCGTAAACATGGCAATAAAGATGAGGACAACAGTCCGAACGATGTAAATACTGTAAATAGTTACAATATTCATCTTAGAAATATCAACAGATATTGTACAGTGGTGTGCAAAGGCTTTGGGAAAACTCAATACAATCATTCTAAACTTTTATTTGAGTAAGTAGTTAGGATCGTCCTGCAGAATACTTTTACCGGTAGCGTCTGTTGACATTGAGGATTATTGCGTTTTCGTAGGTGCTGGTTAACAAAAGATGCTGTAATGATCAGTTTTTGTAACAAAAATTTCTTTTCAAGGAAAGAGATGTCGGAGTTAACTCCTCCTTCAGTTCGTAACCCTTTCACCAGGGGTTCTCTCTTTCCTGGCTATAAATAGCCAATGACCCTTCGCCTCGCTCTCTTTTTCCTTTCAGGCCTGTGCACTGACACCTCGAGGTAAATTTCTCTTATTCCTAGAGGATTTCAACTATCAACCTCGAAATGTAGTCGCTAACAAGGAATAGCGTGGAAACACGCTTAAGCACAATACACACGCACGCACATACAGAATATTCACACACACTTCGTCCTTTGTACTGTTTCCATGTATTGTAACTTGTTAATAATATATATTTGTATATACATATATTATCGGTCTTGTTTTGTTTGCTTTCTTTTCCTTCTTCTTTGGACTTAATCAAAGTCCAACCTTTTTATGTAGTTGGGCTCGGCGGGCAGGAGTATCTGAACCTTGCGTTTCTTCTACGTCTGACTTCTATCAACAACAAGTGGCAACCGCCATTCCCACAACAAACCGTAACCGTCACGGTCCCCTCTACAGAGATGAAAGGTGAAATTTTGGTTGGTGGCTAAGTATTTTTGCATGACCTTTTTTTTCAGCATTACTATGCTTAAAATACTCTGCCAGCCACCATTCAGACTTAACGAAAATGCATTTACGTGTTTTCTGAACCTCAATGATCATCATACTGCTAATCACTCTCGGTGTTGGGGATAAAATTAACTAAGATTAAATAATTCATTAAGGTGGGCCAAAAGTTTTGTACGCCTGTGTCGTGTGCTCGATTTTCACTTGGTGCCACATATGAAAATCGATAGTAAATAACTGTACAATTATATATGCTTATGTCTCTGATTGAATTTATATCGGTATTAAAGAAATACTGTATTTTACATGCAATGCGCTTATGAGTCTCACGCTTATGAATGATTATATATATATATATATATATATATATATATATATATATATATATATATATATATATATATATATTCAGTTGAGGGAGCCGAGTTCGAATTGCAGTCGAATCCATTACATTCACTTACGTGCTAATACCCTTGGAAAAGGTATTAATCCTCTTCTTCTCCCTGCAGCTATGGTTAAATAGCAGGACAGACTGGGTTCTATAGCCTTGGATGGCAACTGCTCTCGGAGAAAGACAATTCCGAATTCAAAACCTGCAGAGGGTCGTTTGGAAACCTTGTGGCACGTAGTGCACCAGGTCTCCGTATTCGGCCCTTCAAAAAGTGTGGTTGGTTCTGCACAAAGCCTTTACCACTATAATCAAATCATATGTGCTTGTGTCTGGGCTGTCGGTTCCTAGGAACTGAGTTGCTTGACCCTCATATGGCGAATACGACAGGAAAGTCCACCATATTCAGTTGTTTGAGTTTGTAACCCTGGGTTTCACGTTTTTGCGATCATCAGACAAACTATATATATATATATTCTGTGAAATCTCTCAAACATTCAGACTGGTAATAATGTTTGATTAAACAACAGAGCATTTACTTAAATAAATTGTATCTATTAAAATAACGTATAAACAGAAAATATATTAAATAATTGTCAGGTTTAATACATTTCATAATATGCTATTGTTTATGTTGAGGTACGTCTCTTGAGCAGATATGATCACTCGGGGAAAGATCGAAGATTTGTTGTTTAAAAACATTAATTTGGACTTTGCTAAGCAGATGCTTCTCTATAGCTAAGTAGTATAGCACGTCAGATCAAATGACAGTTACGTATACGACACAATTTCGATTCCTGTTGGAGAACGCATATTCTCTACAAAATTTCTCGAACATTCAGGCCGGTAAATGTAATTAATATTGTTTAATTAAAAAACAGAGCATTTACTTAAATAAATTGTATTTATTAAAATAACGTATAAACAGAATATATATATATATATATATATATATATATATATATATATATATATATATATATATATATAAAATATAGTTTTAAGATATGCTATATTTATGGGTTAAAGTGCTCAATATCATGGATAGATCATATGTGAATATAAAAGTGGACATTGAAGTCAACACTCAGAAGCGATAGTCTGTTTAATGCCAAACGCAATAGTCAGGCCAGATGAATGCATTTAGTATGAAACAGAATGTCGCCTCTGGGTGTTGACATACCTGTCCACAGTCACACACAGTCACACACACACACACACACACACACACACACACACACACACACACACACACATATATATATATATATATATATATATATATATATATATATATATATATATATATATATATATATATATATATATACAGCCCCACCCCAGAAATCTATTTACCCACGCATCCCGTGAAAATTTTTTGTGTGCAAATTCTTATTCGCACTCTCTTCTGACTCAAAAACATCCTCGTTCACCACCTCCAAGCACTACGGTGACGGACGTGATGCAAAAACACAAACATAAAAACAATATTGCTATTTTATACGGAACAATTTTCGGTAAAAGAAGTTGGACATGGTCGTATAGAATTTTTATGATAGAATATTAAATTTCATTCAAAACTGTTTCTTGTATGTGGCGCTCGAATTTTCTTCAAAAAAATTGCATTTTCTTTTGTCTTTTTGAAGAAAATTGAATAAAGTGTTGTCAAAGTTTGAAAATAAAGATATTTATTGGACGCAAAACTGCATTCGATCTGTTTGAGATTTCAGTTTGATTTAGTTTATCGCATCATATAAAAAAGACTTCTTTTTTTTACTTACATTAATAAATGTAATGCATGGTCATATCTGAGATAATTGAATATTTGCCAACAGTAAGTGTACAAAGCCGGTAAAAGCTATGTTTTCAAACGATGATTTTCAAAGAAGGCAATTCTTCCCCTTATAGAATCGATTCCAAGAAGGATGTTTCCACTATCACTACAATTTTAACCGTTATCTCCCCCACATATACTCATAAACTGTACCGCTTACCGCCTACTCTTTAAGCCTTTACCTGGAGTGGCTCTTAGATCTTGTACAAGGCGAACATTATTTTAAAAAAATACATCCACCACAGACCCTAGTAAAAAAACATGAATAAAAAATTATATACTACACTAAATCCGCTGTATCTAATAAAATCCTTTGTAATGGCTCTTCCCCTGCCATTTGCGTGTTGCAGAAAACCAATATCGTTTATAAATTTAAATGTCCTCTGGGAGGTTGCATCTCCAATGATAAAAATAATATCTATGTTGGACACACGACAACAACGCTTTCACGTAGGTTAAGTCTTCACATACGTCGAATATTTCTAAACATTTACAACAACATACCTGTCCAAACTCGCAATTCAGAAAAATCCTTGTCGAAAATACCTCCATAATTTTCCACGAAAAGAATAAAAACAAAATAAAAATTCTCGAAGTTATTTATATAAAAAAATTGAAACCAAACCTCAATAAAATTAATCACGAATACACCACAAACATTTTAAAATGTGTACAATAG